CATTGTTCATTCCCTCACACTCCTGCCAAAACTGAGTAGTAGTATTCTTTTTATTTGTTGCCTGTCTGATAGGCAAATAGATGGTGGTGCATTGTTTTCACTTGCATTTATTTGATTACTAGTGAGTCTAAATATTCCTTGCTATGTAGAAAAACATTTCTTGAAAGAGTGATTTTTTTTCTGAGAACAACTCCAAAAAAATCAAATCAGCTTCAAAAGGAGAAACTGAAATGGAACAGATTCTCAGAGTAATTTAATATAAGCAAATTGCCTATTTTGTGACAATAATAGCAATCCAGCTCTAAAAATTATTGCCCAAATGTACTAATCTACAAAAAAGCAAGGGCAAAATATGATTACTTAAAATCTTTTCATTGAGTTTATCTTTTGGGAAAAGAAGGATAGGAAAAAAGTCAAATCAAAATTTTATGAATTTAGCTGAAGGAAACGATACATTGAACAACATCAGTATTGGACTCAGATCATCAAATGAGTTTGTGACTATCTGGACAGGTATGTGTAATGGTTCTATCAAGAAATGTGAAGGATATCAGGGATTGAAAGACAAGGACTGATTTTAGAAGGACCCCCAACTTGTCAATAGTAAACATTTTGATTTAAGTTGTACATTAATTTGGAAAGTTGTCTGTAAACAGAATTTATTTCAAGTGGAAATAGCTTAAATGCACCAGGGAAACTCATGAATCAGCTTACTGACAGTTTCATCTTTAAATTTGGAATTTTGTGTTTCTTAAGAGAAGAACAGTCTTTGGGGTCACCTCAGATTTTCTTCATGTTCTTCCTATCTTGAAGGATCATATAAGGTCCCTCAGGATGGGAAAATTCCACTGTTTTATGACCTGAAGCATGTAGATTTAACCCAAACTTTTTAATACCTCTAACATCCTTACCACAGTTCACTCCTCTCAATAATTTCTCTTTTAACTTACCCAATCTAATTTCAGGCAAACTTAATCCATATGTTTATGTTTACAGTAATGTCTTAGATGTTTTAAAATCCCTCTTTTATGTCTTTTGAGTGTGGTGTTTGGTTAAAATAAATAAGAAGTGAAACTCCATCTTTGGGGGTGAGGTACTGTGCTCCCCTAAGATATACAACTATTTTAAGGTTGAAAGAGGTTTCCTTTGATCCGAGACAATTAAATCAGGAAAAGGCTGTGCAACAGAACTGTGTTATTTAATATATTTGCTTTCCTTAGATTCAATTTTATTTTCTTTCCTTCCTCTTTGAACTTATTTCCCTTCCCTTATCTCTGGTCACACTGAAGTATACTCCTGGTGCCACAAATATGTAACATCACCTATATGTGTGTCTGCTTACACTGTTCTCTCTGCTCAGAAGGAGGTTGCCAACTGCCAGCTTATGGCTGGGTCTAGTCCACAAATGTGTTTTATTTGGACTTCACTGTATTTTTCTCTTAAATTTGAGCCAACATTTAAAAATCAAAAAGCTTCACATGAAATTCCGGATTTCTGGCTTTGTTTGGAAAATGGAAACTCTGGCAATATTGTGTCTGCTTTTATTCAAGGTAGCAATCAGCCACAGCTGATCAATGTCTGTGCTTTTTAGATGGAACTTGCACTTAATTATGACTTCGTTGAAAGAACAAACCTGGCCCCATTAAGTTACTTACATTACGTTCTTGGCTTCTTTAGGTTGAGTTTGAGACATCTGCTATGAGATATGGATGATATAAAGGACAAAAGACACAAAGGACAAAAGACACAGGTTTTGCCCTCTGAGACGTATTATCTAGTTGGGGGGCAGGACATGTTTGACAAATTAAGACTATAAGTGTTAAAAAGCCACAAGAGTCATCGCAGTGCTGCAGGAATTTACTAGATGGGTGTGAGAAAAAAATAAATATATGAAATTAAGGATTTTGAGTTTAGAGACAAGGGAAATGGTAACAGGTAAAGTTTATTGAGTATTCATTATGTACCAAGCACATTTCTAATGCTATATGTATGTTGAGTGATTCATGTAATAGTTCTATGAGTAGGTAATACTATCCTAAATTTATAGATGAGGACTCTGAGTCCTAGAAAAGTTGAACTTGAGGCCTCACAGCAGGTAAAAGGGAAAAGCTGAGGTGAGTTAACGTAAGACCATATTGTGTTGGAGACCAGTAGACTTGGAGGCAGGCCTGATCCAAAGTGTATTGCCCGTGTACTGGTGGGAAAATCAATTACGGGCTTGGAGTCTTATTTTACCCCTCTGATAATTATTCTTTTCTTCCTTCTCTAAGAGAAAGATTGTGCTTGTTGGTGGTAGGGGGGAGGTACAGAGAATGTGTAAGTGCTTTGTAACCAAAAAGCATGAAGAAGCCAAGGATTCCCATGGAGGAATTACAAATCTGATTCACCAAATTATAGGACACTGGTTGGGTTACCTTAACTAGTACAGCTCTCAACCTGCAGTGAGCCTAACCTGGGGATCTTGTTAAACTTCAGTTTCTGATTCAGGAGGTCTGGGATGCAGTCCAAGATTCTGCAGTTCTAACAACTTGCAGGTGATGTTACTGCTGCTGCTGCTGCTGGTCCAGGGACCAAATTTAAGGGGCAAGGAATGGAAGGGCCACAGTGCATTAACATGCCAGTCGCAAGGGCATGGACCTTCTCTCCTGTTTCCACCTGCTACTTACCAGGAATGTTAAGAGGCCTTCTCAGGCTCTCTCTCCTGCCATCCCATGGGGCCAGCCTGGCCAAAGTTTACTGAGATCCTGATTTTGGAGTCTAGACTAGGGCAAAGGAAGATGCCCTTTAGTACCTGTATTATCAGAGTTCTCAACAGTGGCTTGGGGTCAGAGCCGTAGTTAACAATAAGTTATTACTCTACTTTACCTTAAAAAGTTATTACTTTTCATTTGTGCCTGTTTGTAACTCAAGGCCTCACAGGAGAAGGGCAAGGGGTGGGGGTTAAAGCCTGGGGCAGTATTCCAGTAGATATTCATTCCTCAAATCTTTTTTATCTACCATGTACCCGATTCTGTGTCAGGCATGGGGTCCCTGGCCATAATGCTATCTAATAATGCCCCCAATTCTACCTTAAACCATTGCAGAACTACTCATAATTATGTGGAAATAAACTGAGGAATCAGTAGACTCTTTGTACAAATATTAGTTGTATTAGACACTGTTTGCTTCCTGCCCAGTATCCATTCTTCTCTTCTTTTTTTTTTTTGGAATACATTTTTTTTTTAAATTACTTAATTTATTTATTTTTGGCTGTGTTGGGTCTTCGTCGCTGCGTGCGGGCTTTCTTTAGTTGCGGTGAGCGGGGGCTACTCTTCATTGCGGTGCGCAGCCTTCTCATTGTCGTGGCTTCTCTTGTTGTGGAGCACGGGCTCTAGGCATGCAGGCTTCAGTAGTTGTGGCACATGGGCTCAGTAGTTGTGGCTTGCGGGCTCTAGAGCTCAGGCTCAGTAGTTGTGGCACACGGGCTTAGTTGCTCTGCGGCATGTGGGATCTTCCCAGGCCAGGGCTCGAACCAGTGTCCCTTGCATTGGCAGGCGGATTCTTAACCACTGCACCACCAGGGAAGCCCCATTTTTCTCTTCTTTCTTGCTGATGGGGAACCAGTTTTGTTCAGTTTTCACTTCCCTACCTGTGACTCAGAGGAGGGTAGCAGTGGTGTACTGGAACTGTAACTGAGCAAGTGGGCTCGTTGCCCACTGTGCAATGGAAAGACCAAGGCAACAGTCTTTTGCAGAGAGAAAAGGCTTTATTACGGGGTTGAAAACAAGGAGACAAGAGGCACTGCTTTAGATCTGGCTCCTTGACTGGCATTTGAATGGAGTATTTATCTTGGAAGTAGGGAACAAGAGGGGGAGGGTGCTCAGAAATGATTGATGGAAAGTAAGTGCAAGTTTCAACGTAAGTTTCGAGAGTTCAAGGGTTCCTGCACAGGCCAGACAGTCCTTCATGCCCCTTCATGGGTTGCATGTACAATTTCAGAGGTGGAGGAGTCCAGTACATAACATGCAGTGGATTTTCAGCCTGCGGCATTCAAAGTGTGCTCTCAGTCATTCTAGTCCCTCAGTGTGCCCGTGTGATGCTCATGCTCAATTGGAGGGGCTGTCAGCAAGTTGTTTGCATATCTGTGGTTTCCCTGATACTCTGCGAAACAAGCTTGGTGTCCTCCATGTTACGATTTTTGTTTCTATCTTGTTTCTACCTTAGGGACCAAGATCCTTTAAGGTACAAGGTATAGTTTCAGAACCAGCTCTTACCAGCTCAGGAGAGATGACTACTAAATTTTAGGACGTTTGAATCAGATAAACAATCCATTATTAAAAATAAAATTATATAAACTTACAATTTAATAAAATGTATTAAAAAGGTAATACTCAAAACTTACTACTTTCTAATTATTTTACCACATTTTACTGTTATCTTTGCTCTTAAGATAACGCACATCTATTAAATATCTATGTGGTGGGAATAATTTATACTCAATTGACTGTGCACCTCTTGCAAATTCTGTGTCCAGTAATGTCACATTAGGAGCTTGAAATGTGCTATGGTGGTGTGTTTACATCACAGAAATTGGCGCATGCTATATAAATCAGAGCTTGATTTTTTTTCCTGGGTGAGCTGGTTGTTAACGTTTACCAGCACACCACGGGGTAATGCTATACAGGGGAAAAATCTAATTGATTTAAGATAAACAAGGTAGCTCTATTTCCTTTCCCTTAGGCATGTGGCCCAATTCTGGCCAATGAGACAAGAAAGTTGCTCATGTTGGGAGTTTCTTAGAAAGCTTTTCTTGCTTCTAACGAGGAGATACAGGGTAGATATGGGCTCTTTCTGTTTCTGGCCATGTGATGTCTGGATGTGACGTATGTGGACCTTCAGAAGTTATCTTGTAACAGTGTCAAGGCAGGATTAACATGCATTTTGTTCTTTTAGTTTTTATTTTTTAGACCTCATGTTCAGAGAAAAAAATTAGCATGTATTTTTTATATTTTCTCTTCTAGAGGGGATCCTGATAGATGTGACATCTGGGGAAATACTCCTTTACATTATGCAGCCTCCAATGGTCATGCCCACTGTGTCTCATTTCTGATCAACTTTGGAGCCAACATCTTTGCCCTGGACAACGATTTACAGTCTCCACTGGATGCTGCTGCCAGCAGAGAGCAGAATGAATGTGTTGGTCTCTTGGATAATGCTGCCACTGCCCAGAACATCATGAACCCCAAGAAGGTCACCAGGCTGAAGGAGCAGGCTCAGAAGAATGCCAGGAGGCAGATCAAAGAGTGTGAGAGGCTCCAGGAGAAGCACCAAAATAAGATGGCCCGCACCTACAACAAGGAGGAATCTGGGACTCTTTCTTCTTCCAAGGACACTTTCTCCAGGTCATCCCTTTCAAATGTTTCTGCTTCCAACACATTTGGGTCACTGTCTAAGGGCATTAAAGACACCTTTAAAATAAAGTTCAAGAAGAACAAAGATACAGCAGAGCCGTTAGGGAAGGAGAGAACAAGTGGGCAGAAGAATGTGATGGAAGTGTTCAGAGAGGAGGACGAAGACCCCTTCTCAGGGCACTTCAAAGAGAAGCTCCAGTTCTCAGTAAAGGCGGACAGCTGTGTGCAACACGAATCCATTCTCAACCGTCCAGGTCTAGGAAATGTTGTTTTTAGAAGGAACAGAATATTGAGCCCTGAAGACATCTCAGACAGCAAGAGGGAGTTGGGGTTGAAAATGCCCGGTGAATTGCTTCAGAGACAAGGAGGACCTGAGGCTGATGAAGAGGGAGCGGAAAACCACCACGAAGATGATCTGCCTTGGGATGAGGATGAAGTGGAATGGGAGGAAGATGTGGTTGATGCTACTCCCCTGGAAGTGTTCTTGCAGTCCCACTGCCTGGAAGAATTCCTTCCTATTTTCATGAGAGAGCAGATTGATCTGGAAGCTCTGCTGCTTTGCTCTGATGAGGACCTTCAGAGCATACAGATGCAGCTGGGTCCCAGGAAGAAAGTCCTTAGTGCCATAAACAGAAGGAAGCAGGTGCTACAACAGCCTGGGCAGTTGGTCGACACCAGCCTCTGATGGAGTGTTGGGTCAACTGGGTGAGTCTGCAGCAGTGGGGTGATGCTGTGGCCCACTGGAAACATTTCAGGCATTACCCACTCTCTACCCAGTACCAGACTACTGGGTTTCTAGGGTTTTGGAGGTGTCCATCTAAGAGGCCCAAATTCTACTCTGAGAAATACTCTATACCTGTCCACATAAACCACTAATGAGAAACTCAAGGAGACCTGGGAATAAGAAAATGACATTTCTCTTCCATTATCTTTTTGATATTTTTGAATACAGAAAGGATTAAATGGATGACAGAGAAGGGAAAAACTTCCTTCACTTTCCTAACTCTGGACTTAAAATTATAATCTCTCATCATATTAGCTGCTGCTTAACTTCTGGTCCTCATAGCTAGGGATTCGAACTCCAGTTCTGTCCTTAGCTCTATGACTTTACCTGTTGGTGGAGACTAAAGTTCCTCCATTGGCCCGTGGCGTGATGCCCAACTTAAATGTGTCTAACCCTTCAACAGATGTTCACATGTTCACAAGTAATAGAAATGGGTCTATAGTACTCCTGCCTGGGAACAGAGAGAGGATGGCAGGTAGAGAGAGAGGACAAAGAAACAGAATGTATGGTACCTGTATGGACTGAATTTTCTCCCTCCAAAATTCTTATGTTGAAACCGTAATCCCTAATGTGACTGTATTTGAAGATATTACCTTTATTAAAGAGCTGATTAAGGTTAAATGAGGTCATAAAGGTGAGGCCCTAATTCCATATGACTGTTGTCCTTTGAAGAGGTAGAGACACTGGAGATGTGCACACACGCAGAATAGGCTATGTGAAGACACAGCAAGAAGGCAGCCATCTGAAAGCCAAGGAGGAAAGCCTCAGGAGAAATCAAACCTTCTATCACCTTGATCTTGGACTTCCAGCCTCCAGAGCTATAAGAAAATAAATTTCTATTGTTTAAGCCACACAGTCTGTGGTATTTTGTTACGGCAGCTCTAGCAGACTAATACAGTGCTTAAGCAAGAGAGTCAGGGAGGAGAGAAAGAAGGATACAGAAAAGAACTCTGGCTTGTTAGATGATTTTTCCTAAGGGTAAGTGCCTCCTGAAACTTAAAAAAAAAAAAAAGGAAAAAGAAATCTAGGTTCTCTGTAGGGAAAATTCAATTGTAAATTTTACCTTTTATGCTTATTATATACATATCTTTTATTTACTGTTGTCTATCACCATTTCTGCACGTCTGAATACATGTAGGTTCTACAATATAAACTGTCAACACTAATACTGCTGCTGATGTTATTTAAATGGAAATCCCAAATTTAAGTTGAAACCCTACTTGAATAGCTAAGCTTCACTGGATTTTTATAGCCAGCCTTGCATTAAATGGAATTTACCATTGATTATGTGTATAATATAGAAAAAGCTTCAGCATGCTTCCTGATTCACAGCTGTCTGTGTTACTTTAAGAGGCACCATGGAGGATACAGATGCTTAAATCTGATGAACAATTGGCACATTCTTCCTCAATGAATGGATCGAAAAGGTTGTCAGTCATTGAATGAATATGTTACACTAGGGGATGATTATGTTCACAAATACTGCATTTCATTGTTCTGGAGTAAACTGCAGTTGTACATGAAATAATGTACATGAAAGCAGTAGTCACATAGAAGGCACTCAGAAAAAGTTTGTAGTGTCTCAGTCTTTCTCTATTAGTATGTCCTTATTGTAGATTCCAGGATCCTCTCTCCAAGTAACCCCCAGAATCTGCCTAATGAGACACTCATTGCTAGGATATAGGAGAAGTATAAGCCCCTAGGAAAGTACTACTGTTAACAAAAAGGATGCTTTCCAGCAGTGCTTTGTACATCATTGTCAGAGGTAAAAATAATATAGAAAGCCTGACAATGTATTCTAGCAAATGAGAGGTAGCATAAAGAATTTTGAGCTGGCAACCAGCATTGCTACTTGGAAGATGATAGAATAGTAAATGGAAAGGCACTCTTAGGGAAAATAAGAAAAGACAGGCCAGCAAAAATGTTACTGGAATTCAGCATTATAGGATTTAGTCCTGCTTCATGGGATTTGATTATTTCTAGTTGGAATTTGTCCATGTTGCCCTACTGGAGGGGTAGCAATTTGCTCAGAAATATGGGAAGGGGATGTTTGCCCAGCAGGACTGGAAGTTCTCACCAGGACCATCCCATTGGACTTTATGTCAGTTCTGTGATGAGATAAAGGGATATGAATTTGAAAACACCTCAAGCGAGTGCGTGTTCCGTGGGTTTTAAAACCTCACATAAAACTTCCTTAACATTGCTGGATTAAAAAGGAGAGAGCAAACATAATCCCTTTATATAATAACAGTGAATAACATAAAACACAGTGAGGCCAGAATGGGTTGTTAGAAGGTGTTGGGTTTTTTTTCTCCAATAGTTGCATTTTATTTTTATTAAGGTATCCCAGCTTACAGACTCCATAGGCTCATCTACCATTCTCTGAATAACTCCTGTTCCATTTAAAGGGTAAATACTATATTGATGATTATTGCAAAGACTGGCTTAAAGTGTATGAACCAAACAGAATTACCTTTGGTCTTACATATCAAGGAGCAAAGGAGGCAAATTAAACAGTTCCAGCTCCTGGGAATTCTCCTATGCCCACTTCCCTAGCAGAGAAGCTAGGTTCTGCCCTACTACAATGTAAGCTCCTTTAGGACAGGGAATTTGCTCTGTCCTGTATTCACTGATATATCCCTTGTACCAAGTGCCAATCCATCACACAGCAGGTATTCAATAAATATTGCTGAACAACAGAATGTGATGCCTAGGCTGAAGACGGGATGCAGATTACTCTGGTCTGTTGATTCCTATGATTCTGACCAACTTCAGTGGTTTCACACGGCATTTGAGGTGGGTGGGCAATGTGAAATGGAAAAGAGTTAACTTTGAAAGGCAAAAAACTTCTTATTGCAACACTACTCTCGATCCATTTCCTGCCCTAACTCTAATATAGTTGGAGAGAGTCATCTTTGGTGTGAGGACTATTTCTTTTCTGTTAGCAGCCTAGCATGAGTTATTGTAGGGACTCTTATGAATGAAAGAAGAAACCTATGAATAAATTAAGGTGCTTTTGATAATCTCATCGTCACACACCCTTCTCTACACATCCTTAGAGTTGTGACCATTAAGATCCCCAGGAAGACTCCATAGTCACTTGAGGTGTGCAGAGCAGATCACGTGGGTATTTTGTTCTAGCACAAAGGCTAGACAGTCTGGCAAACAATGATAAACTTTTGGGTAAGCTACCTACAGCATGAAGAGGACCTGCCAGGAGGAATTTGGGTAAGAAAACAAAGCAAAATAATATGCTTCTCTTTGCTGCTGACTTATAACCAGCCTAGGGATTGGAGAGAGAGTATTTGAATGGGTCTTTGACAGGACACGGACAACACAGCTCTGCTAGTAACCCAGGGGACCTGAGGAAAGCATTGCTGCAGCTCAGTTTTCCCACCTGTAAGTTGAAGAGGTTGGACTGGATAATTCCTAATGGCCCTTCAACAATGATACTGTAGTGCACACCTGTAGATTTTGCCTGCCCAATATAGTCCTCCCCCTTTTTGGTAAGAGACCCCTTTCCTTTTGTTAGCTAATGCGGTCAGATGGGCTGACTGCACCACTGACTTCAAGGGGGGGCATGTGACCCAGGCCTGGATAATAGGGGAATTAGATCCCCCTGGATGATGCAGTGGTTCAGGGATAACAAGCATATGGGCCTGACCTGGCCAAACAGCATATTCCATTTCCTTTAGCCACTATGTTAGTTATGCATATGGGCATAGGCCCTAGATGGTCCGGTATGTCTCCATTCTGAGACTTTTAACTGTTAAGGAAGAGAATGTCTCTTTCTGCCAAGGTTGCTGAAGAGGACAGACTATGATTCAAGAGCTGCTGGCACCCATCCTGCCACTATCAGGGGAGAGCTTACTTGATAATGCAGCCAACACCAAAGAAAACAGAGCCAAGGAACAGAGAGAGCAAGACTGGGTCCTGATGACACTTGGACCCCCTGGATCCAGCTATAGCCGAAACCAGTTACCTGTGTACTTCTTAATTATAAGAGCCAATGAATCCCATTCTTCACTCATTCATTCAGCTTAAGGTAGTTTGAGTTGTGGTCTCTACCGATTGTGACTGAAGGCGTTCTGACCAATAGAGAAGCTCTGCTGTTCCTTGAAATTTCAATTATAAGAAGCCAGAAACAAAAGGCTACATAATATATGATTCCACTTATATGAATGTCCAGAAAAGGCAAGTCCATAACAACACAAAGTAGATTAGTGGTTGCCAGGGGCTGAGAAGAAGGGGGAATGGGGACTGACTGCTAATGGCTACTGGGTTTCTTTGTGGAGTGATGAAAATGTTCTGAAATTAGACAGTGGTGATGGTTGCACAACCCAGTGAATATACTAGAAAACACTGAATTCTATACTTTAAACTGGTGGATTTTATGATATGTAAATTGTATCTCAATTAATAAAATAGGAAAAATTTAACTATAGCCATCGGAGCTCCTGCAGGGAGTGAACGGGAGCATTTCATCCCCTCACTTTCCTTGCTGTGAGGGATGGAAGTTACCAAAGCAAGAACTGCAGAATTGGAAAAAGCTTTATTTCAAGGGATTACAAAAGGTAGTGAAATACAGGGGAAAGGGAGTGCTAATATAATCTGGCATAACAGAGAATGGCCACTTAGTTTTGCTTTCTAACTACAAACACAAAAGGGGATCTCATTATTTAAGGTTAAGACAGGATAAGCACAAAGCTATAGATCACTGGGCTCCCTCATTTAATCTAGAGATTATGAGACAACTAGTTTAATACCCCTTAAGCTGTAGCATCCATTCAACACAAAGTTCCTTCGTTTTATTTACCAGATGACCAGGAATCGTACACAAGTTTGGCTGCAACCATGTCTTCCACCGCCATTCCTGGAATGGACAGAAATTTGGTTCACCTTTTGTCAGAACAACTTTTCCTCAAACAGCCCAGATCCCAGAACTGGCAGTCCCCTGATACAGTGTCCATCAGGGTAACAAGGACTGATACCCAGAGGTGAGTTCAGGCTTGAAGTATTGGCAAAGGGCAGAACAAGGCAAGAAACGCCCACCAAAGAAATTTTACGTATCCTTCAGACGTTAGTTCAGGGGTCAGAAAACTTTCTGTAAAGGGCCAGATGGTAAAGATTTCAGGCTTTGCGGGCCAATTACTTGCAATTACTCACCTCTGCCATTGGAGTGCAAGGGCAGCCATAGACAACAGGGAAACAGATGAGCCTGACTGTGCTCCAAGAAAAGTTTCTTTATGGACACTCTAGTTTGAATTTCTTAAATTTTCACATGTCACGAAACATTCTTAATTTTTTCCCCAATCATTCGAAAATGTAAAAACCATTTCACTTGTGGGCTGTGCAAAAACAGGTGGTAGGTTGGGTTTAGCCCGTGGTCTGCAGTTTGTTGGACCCTCTGGTCTAGTCCAAACCCTGAATCCTTCAGCAACGGACCCTTTTGTCTTATAGTTTTGGGCACATACCTTAAGCTTGAATGGACATATGTTCTTAAAGGCCAGGGGCCGGTTTTTATTAACTTTCGTAGCTACCACTGCACCCGGTATGGAGCTTGATACATAGCAGGTATTTAATATGCACCTGCTAGATGAACGGATGTGCCGATAAACCAGTCCCCAAAAGTGAGAAAGTAAAAATTGCTCAGAAGTGTAGAGCAGGGCTATGCAGTCCTGTGTCTCCTGAAGGGAGCCGGCTGACCTCTGATCTGCTAGGAACAATGAGACTTTCAGACCCAGCTAGACCAGTGTGATGTCTTTGAACCAAGCTCTAGATAAAGCTTATACTG